TAGTAAAAGAACATACATAAAAGATTAAATGTAAGAGGACACAATTTCCTGCCATAACATCAGCGAGGGATGATCTGGCCCTGATCTGCCCCCTAGTGGATTCACGTTTAATCCTCCATGTACACGCAAAGTATGCAGGCAAGTATGTGAACAAAGCCATTTGCGTCGCCGACCCCTGTCTACACCTACGCATAGTTTAAAAGCAATTATATAGGCGGCGTAAGAGTGTTTTTATTTTCAAATATTCCTTTAATTCAACTGATTACTCAGTTTTTAGCCATGCTAGCGGCCTATGGCTCTAAGGATAGCAATATCAGTCTGTCTGTCGGTCCACCACTTTGGTACAGACTTATGTCTCAACAACTATTGAATTGCCATAGAGTTTTGTACAGACATAGTCTCCAGAGCATGAATCCCACTGACATTCCCAGATGGACTAACATGGTAACATGCTAAAACAAGATGGTGACGATGGAAACGTTATACCCATTTAAAATGAGCATGTTAGCTTTGTCATTGTGAAGATGTTTGCATGCAGATTTTCGCATTTAGCTGTACCTAAAATACAACGTAACAGAGAGGTTAGCGTGGCTGTAGACTCTTAGTCTTGTTATATTATATTTGTATAATGACAAAAGTTCAAAATAATGCTGATGAGTTTGCAGATTTTTCAAGAAAAACTAAATAAAGATTCATTGTGCAATTTTCCTCTTACACAACTTACACAACTTAAACATACTATATTAATATCTTGGACAAAATCATGAGGTTGAATTTCAAAAGGGATTAATTACCACTGTAATTATGACAAACCACTTCCCCAGAGTCTGGATGTGGTCTAGAGGCAATGAACACTCTCCTTTAGGTGTCTCATACAATGTTAGTTGAATAAGAACTTTTGTATGCACAGCATCAAACTATACTTTACACTGACAGCCCAGAGCAACAAGCTAAAGTCATAGCTACATGATCCAACGCATGGGGATTAGACACGGTAGGGGCAATTAGAGGAAGAGAGTGGTTGAAGTAGAAGGGAAGGGATGGAGGGTTAGGGCTATGGTTGGAGAAGATGAAGGCAAAATGAAGGATTAGAGTTCTTAATGATGAGCACAACATGTTGTATCTGCTAAATGAAGTGAAGCAAAGCAAAAGATGGCATACAGATCATTCAAAGTGTCTCTCTTTCAACTTATTAAAATTTGTGATCGGATGATACTGCAGCTATCAGCATTAGTAATTAAATTTCATGTGTTAAATTAGGCTCTGTACGGGAGATTAGCATATAGCTTACGTTGTTAAATTACTTTCTCAAAAGAAAAGAGGAGCCAAAGTAAAAGGAACCACATCTGAGTGAAAGGACTGTTTATCAGGTAGTGATAAGAAGGCCAAGCAGAGCATAAGCAGGAATGAATGTGAAGAGTCTTCGTTTTCTATTTGCATATGTTATACATAAACAGGCATATGCAACAGCGTCTGCTGTTTTGCATGATCATTTATTCCCATTAGTCGGCATTGCTCTACAAATTTTGAAAAATGCATGATTGTGTGCGTCACGAGGTTAGTGTTTGTAGTGAGGTGCTGATCACTGGAAGTAGACTTGAAAGTGGGAAAAAATGTCGCCCACTCTGGCTCCATATGCATTTCTCTTTTATTCAGATGACATTTTGGCCCTCAGGTATTCCTCTTGATTGTTGATTTTGAAGATGGCCTGGGGGCCAAAACATCATCTGAACAAAAGGGAAATGCATATGCAGCTAGAGTGTGCGACAATTTTTTCCTGAAGGGTGCCAATCTCAAAGATGAACATTGAAGAAAGGGGGGAGGGGAATTTTGCTATGCAGGACCCAGCCCTGCACAGATAAATGTAGGAGGCATTAGGTTGGTATTTGCATGTTGATAGAATGACTGTCAACATCATAATGCCATTGTGTGGTACCACAGACAGTTTTGAAGCGCACCAAGCATCACTGTATAACATCAGTGACCAGCCAGGGAACCTTTCCTGCCTTTTGAGGGAAATCTGTACACTGATTGTAAAACTGAGCACACAGATCATTAAGAAATCATTATGAAATCTGTGCAACAACTGTAGAAGCTACAAGTAATAGAGTGACTTTATAGTACTAACACTATTGTTGAGAATCAGGGTCTAAATAGCATCAATATTTAAATTAAATAATATAATCATTATTATAATTACTGTTATTTAATAATTAATACTATAATCTAACTTAAATTCACCTCAGGGCACCACTCTTATAGAAGACAAAATTGATAGCCAATTAACTAATTTAGTCTCATAAAATATACAAAACTATCAATTTGGAACTCTGACTTTAATCAAAATGACCATCAATAGCTAGTGGGTTGAAGAATTTGGAATTCGACATCGAAGAGGTTGGCGATATATTGGCTCTTATGCAGCATTTAAGAAACCAGCATGTGTGTTCACAAGCATTTATTTAAAAGATAAACAACACACAAGTTGAAACCTAGCTAAAATGCACTAAATAACAAAGAGATGTGTCATGGGTCATAGGTCACTGACCAATATTAGCTGAAAGCTGGGTCCACGAGCTGAATTCACACCTTGGTGTGACTACCTGGAGGATTCCTGAGAAACTGAGTTCAGTGACTCAGACACACAAACGAATCATTTCATCTGTAAAGCCCCTGTGATCCCAACACTATACAATTACTTTTAATTATTCATGCACAAATGAATAATTTCCTCGTCTGTACTTTATCCTCACAGTATTATCTAAACGTGGTTAAAAAATAGCCCTCACAGGCAGACATAAACTATAGAATGGTGATATTTGTACAGTTTTCTAGTTTAGCATGACGTTTTAATAATACACAAACCCACAAACATATTTTAATTAACAAGACAAAGTGATAGTATTTGCTCGCTTAAAGGTTTTTATTCCACGCACTCATCCATGTGCTTTGTTTAGCAATCGTTTTGCAAACCCTGCACATAGTTAAGAAATCCATGTATTTCCACATGACTTTTTTTCTTATACAATGTGACCCTTGGGGGAGCTCTGTACCAGCGAGGAGGTTTACCAAATGCATATAACGTACAGTTCAATACTGAAAAGATAAAGTTCATCACTGGTAGCCAGGTTGCTATGCCAAGGATAAATGTCTGTGCATAGTTTCACGCTAAGATAGAGACTTAAGACTTGAGAGGTCAGAGAATTAAATAAGAGCTCAAACCCATCTTAAATTCCAAAAACACAGTGAAGAACTTGTTGAAACCAACCAGTTGCACAGATAGATAATGTGACTTGCTGTGAATTATAACCATTTTACACAAATGTCACTTCTTGATTGTTTTTTTTTTTTACTTGACCACAAATCAGTTGTTAAAAATCCATTCAAAATAAATTTATTTCACGGCCCAATTTGTTTTCTACTGGCTGGATCATTTTCCTATGAAGAGTAGGTCTAAGTATGTCTAGGTATAAGTAGTGCTTCTGGGGTTAGTCAATGAGATAGGAAGATACAAGCATTTTAGACTCTAGTCTCTCTCATTATTAAAGCAACACTGAAAAAGAAATGTCATTATCTATAGACTGAATACAATAACAATTTTTTATTTATTAATTCTATTTTATTTTATTAACACTTTGGAGATAAAAGAACAAAACTTTTTCCAATCATTTGACCAGTAAAATCATTTAACTTCTTTGTGCATGCATCCATTATATCTTCAGGTATCTTATTCGTGAGGAAATAAAGTCTCTCTCACACACACTTACATAACAGCAGTTTGTGCATCCATTTTAATACTCACACTCCTACTGAGCAAGTACACATGTATGAACATAGGTATTTAAATATACACCTGTTTAATAAATGCATTTCAGATTAGATTTAAATGTAAATGTTACTAATCAGGTTCTGTCCCCTTTTAAGTTTCATTGAGTGACTTATTAAGTTACTGAAAAACAATAGATAACCTTTATAATCTCAGCTCCCCAATGTAAAAAAAATCATGCATGTGTGGAAAAGATTAAGATAGCAACGTAAGTCAAAGCATTGGGTACCACCCACATCAGCTATAACACTTTATTGGTCTTGCTGAATTGGCTCAACTGTGTGGCGAATAAGATGGGGCAGAATCGGAACAGATGAAACTTTATGGAAATATTTCCGCTTGGACCTTGCTCAGTTGGCACAGCTCAAACCTGCCGCCCAGGATTGTATCAACTGGCTGTGTTATCTTTGAGGAGAAGTTTCTTGTTGCGTAGGAGGAGGCTCTCAACAAAACACAATTGCCCGAGCGGCTGGATCAAAGCTATAACTCTGCTTGCATAGAAAACATTCACTAATGAACAAAGCAATGAAGGGATTTATTTAAAGGGACTTTCCACTATGATTTTCTGTGTGCACAGTATTAATACACCTTACTGTATTTGGTATATATTTAGTTAGTAGTGATGTTTCAATGTGGGCGCATGCACAAACAGATAATTCTACTTAATAAATATGTTTTCAGATAACCAGGACTGGATTACTAAACACTAATCATCATCAAAATATGTAAAAGGTTATTGCTTTATACATCATCTATAAAATGTTATGTTTGATGTGTTTTTAGCACTGATTCAGACACAGATTCAAACACTGTTTCACTCCACTCTGTTTCAGCAGCAGGTCAATGCACCAAATAACAAGAGCAGGATTTTGGATAATAGCACAGAAATATGTGTTATGTGTAAATTACAGAGGTCATGTACATACTGTATTTACTGAAGTGCAGTGCCCTCACAAATACACCTTTTCCATACCTGACATTGCAACTGGTAACATATGACGTGACAGGCCTATAACAATAATAAGCATGCGTGACCTACATAGTGCTATTAGGACTGTCAATCTGTCAAACCAGTCAAATCTCATTCATCACAAAAGTTGTCATTATTTGGCAGCTGTAAAGTCAGAAAGATATGTACTTGGCGTAGAGTTTTCAGTGACTTAATGACACTAACCTTCTTCCCCGAGTTGCTCATCCTCTGGTCAGCCGAGGAGTCCCTCTGTGGTTCGTCCATGTTAACGTTTCAGCAACCCTAAATGAGAGGGACATAACATATTAAGACATCTAGCTCTTACAGAAGACGCATAGGACAAGATACATTTCACAACAAGGAGGGGGAAGTTAATTTTTTTTTAGAAACTATTGAGTGAAGCATCAGCTGAAAAGGAAATGACAGTGCCTCGATGTGCTGACGTGCAATACGGACACGCACATACAGACACTAGCACAACAACACAGGATTATAGATCAGAACTTGGTCACAAGTTTAGGATTTACCTTAAGACAAAGGCAACAAAGTCAAATCAGTTTTCTAACATATTAAAAGCTTCGCTTTATATAAACATCTCACCAGCACTTGACTTTCTTTAACCAATTTTTCAACAACAGGAAAAAACAATGGTCTGGGTTTAAACTGCACCACAGTTGAAGACTCCACAATGGTGGCCATGTGTAATAGACTGCAAATTAAAAAGCCTGAGTCTGCCACCTAGTGTCTATAGGACTAGTACCACTCAGAAATACTGGACAGCAGAAATCAAGAAAACAAATGCAGAAATTATATGAAATCTTTTGGTCTCCAAATGAAGTGTATAAGTATATAATAAAAGTATGTAAGTATATAATTTATTACCAAACACAGTTAGTGCTGTGCGTTGGACTATGGGATATTTTTCAAGCTAGAGGTCTGTGTTTTAAGCCCTTTGTGAAAATACTTAATTTTTACTTTTAACGGATTTAGGGCTTCCACATCCAAAACAAAAAAAGACAACATCCAAGCATTTTACACGTAACTGATAAAACTCAGTGACCTGAAGTGTGGCACTGCTGATTTCCTCTCCCACCATAGTCAGTAACATTTAGCAGCAGTCCCTGACCGGATGACTAGAATGAAAACCAGCAGGACTGCGTCCTGAGCAGCAGGATTAAAAACCACAGCTGTAGAGTGGATTCATAAGATGACTGAGGACGAATGACATATCAAATAGTCAGAGCCTAACCTCCCCACACAACGACTATTTGATGAAACCACTATTATTTTGGGTCAGTATCTCCCTTCACTAATCTGGATGCTGAAGTTGTGTTTATTCCAATACGGCGGGAAAGTTCACAAAAGGTTTTCAAAAAACAATCTAACTCGAGGTCCACTTACTACACGAAGAACTTTGACAACAGAGCAAACCATAAGATGCAGTTGAAAGATTTTTTTGTCAAGTGTAATATACTGTTCCTGTACCACACACGGGGTACAATAAAAATCATATACTGTAAGTAGTTGTTGAGTCATGAGACAAAACGCATGATTAGCCTGAGAATTTGGTTAATCCTAACCCATGAAAGTTTGTATTTACCTGTAGCAGATATATATGCACATTTAGTGCATCAGAAGAGTTGGCACTAGGGCACACCAGTAGCTCACCTAGAAGCACTAGAGCTGTAGGCTACTAAGGCTGAGTCCTTTGCGGCCAGGGTCAAAGTACAGCTCCCTCTCTCTCCCCTCTTCCTGTCTCTCGTTAGCTGTCCCTGTCTAAATAAATAAATAATAAAGAGTCAGTGCTCTTGCTGTTTGTGTAACATTCAGATGAAAACTGTTATGTCTGGTTATCCGGAACCATGGATATTGACTTGTTTAATTCGCCAAGCTTTTAGTAGGTTAGTTGAAACAAGTCACTGGCTAATGAATTCCTTTCTCTGAGCAGATAATGTTTCGTTCTCCTGTCTTTCCTTTTTTTGAAAGTCTTTAAAGCTGGTTGCTGAATTGTTTCAAGGACATTCTGCTCACTTCCAACCTCAATTAAGTTGCAAACTAAATAAAAATCAACACTATGAGCCATTCCAGCATGACAACAGTGAGTGAAAGATTTTGTACATCATCAAATCTCATATACTTTTGTCACCCCCTCCAGTTTAAACACTGGAAATCTATCTTTTGAAAGATGGCTCTGAAAATGTTTTAGCTTACTACTTAGGGAGGGCAGCAGTTGTGGTCAGTCACAGCCAAAAAATAATTTATCAAAATGTCCCCTGAAACATAAGAAACAACCACGGCTTCATAATCCAACTGTCCAACAGTTGGATTATAAACAGCTCCTTTGATTCAAGATGTAATACAAGATGACAACTAAATCTAAGTCATTACTGCTGTGTCATGCTGTTGGAGTAATGTTTGTGTGATGTGTAATCAGCTCTAGTATAATCATCAAGTTGACAAAATTGCATCTTTATCATCCGTAACTGAAGCTTTTTAATTATCTGAAGATACTTGGGCTGAGTAATATGGTTGAACAAGACAATTTGATTGAGGATATTTTCTGATACAAAATCACATACAAAGGATGCATGCATTATGCAATGACTTGCATGATATCAAACTCATATAATGCATACTCATTAAGTTGGACAACAGGACTTGCAACATTGGACAACAACTAGATAAGATGATAAGATCATGTTATGATAAAGTAACATCTTGCTAAGTCAATGAATAAAAATACTAGTAAACTATTACCTAGCCTGATTACATACTTTATACTGAGAAAAATAGTTGCATTAATTTAAAAATAGAGCATTGATTTACTGAGCAAGACAGTCCAGCACAGATAAGTATCTATGTACAGACTCTACCATGATGAGAAATTGTCCCACATACATCCTACTTGATATTGAAGAGTACCTTATCACCCGCTGAAAACTCCCCTCACTGCAGTGATGACTGACTGAGATTAAAATGGGGCTGCACGATATTGGAAAAAGCTGACAATGCAATATTCTTCTTTTCTGCGACATATATTGCAATATGAAAAAATATAGGAATTTTCACCAGGTGACTTCAATTGCTTTGAAAAGAATTCAGCATCATAGAATTATTGGGGTTATTTGGTAGGGGAAAATGCATAGAAAATAAAACATAAATAAACTGAAAAATTTTTAGTCTGAAGACTTTTTTGAATGCAAACTATCCTTTCTTGGGCTTTTATGCAGTAAACATATTTTAAACCGTTAATTTGACTTGCTTGACATTGCATTGTTCTGCGATGTGACTACTGCGCAAGGGCACATTGCAATGAGGATGCTGAAACGATATATATTGAGCAGCCCTGGATTGAAATTGCATTTTCAATCACAACAAAATGAATACAAGAAAAATATATATTGTTTATTAACAAACACAGAGTTTATATAAACATAGCTGACTTTATTTTAAAGAACTCAATCCTAGTCTGGATTAGGGTCGACTTTCAAACACATCAGATACAGTACTCGTGTTAGCAGAACTGCAACTTTTCATTGATTGTTTTCTTTCATGGCCTACCAATGACACAGGTGGGGGTTTTATAAATTCTATTTTATTTTTGTATAAAAAGTGAGTGGTATTAATTTTCTCCCTTTTAATGCACAACATCACTAAAAAACTGTGATGTGGTAACTAAAAACAGTGTTCTCCTGCCATGTGTCTTTTGTTTCAGAAACTCTTTCTCTTAACATCTTCAGTCAGTTTAGTTTGAAAAGATCTGAAGAAATTGTTGAACATTAACTGCTCTGTAATGTAGACACTAGTGTTGAGCCAATATTACAAGAACCTTATGAAAACTCTTGTAGCCTGAACAGACAGGCCTATAGAGTCAATAAATTGTGATTCCATGAACCCATTTCCCCCCGTTCAATTACCAGGGACTTTTACCTCTTCCACCCTGCCTAAAGAATATTTACACCAGGGGCTGCAAAAATGACTGAATGAGAATACCAAGCACCCTTTTCTCCTTGCTGCGGTTGGGAAGCAGGTACTGGATACAGCAGGACAGCAGTAAGAGGCTCAGGAAGAGCTCCTACCCTCAGGCCACTAGGATCCTACATACACACACATATGTGTACACATATATTGATTATTCCTACTGTAAGTCTTTTTAATGCACAAATTGAAGGAACTGAGGGGTATTTTACTGTGACTGTACCTTATCTGATTACATGGGAATAACCTTGATTGATTGTGCAGGTTAACAAGCTGTCAGACTTCCGGACAGTAGTTGTACTAAGTCAATGAGTGATTGTAAAAATATATATATAAAAACTTCCTGGTACTTACCTTGAATAGTGTATTTAAGATACATGATGCCACTGAGGGGTTAAGATTATAACGTTTTGAAATGCTAATATGCAGCTACCAAGCAGGAAGACATTTCTTGTTTCTCCTACCATAAAAACAATGGGGAGTGCCCTTCTGGCATATCCATGCTCCATTGTTCTGCTGCATTCCTTGTACCTCGTGTACGCATGTAGAACACCCCTTTATCCACATTACTTGCCAACGTCCAGAAACACATCCCCAGATCACATGGTTTTAGATCAGAGTTACAACGGAATAGAGCTCTACCCTTCCAGCTGCCGAGGTGCATGCCCTGCTGGAGTAGAAACATGTAGCGTGTTGATTGCTAATTTCCTGGTGAACGGAGTGACAACGCTACTCTAGACAAAGAGGAAAAAGGTTTCTACTACTGGTGAAGTTGTTCCAGACAAAGTACAGCTTGTTACATAAAAGCAACACAAGAGCTTGGTCTTTAATCCCCCCCCCCCAAAAAAAAACCTCTCCTCAGAAAGTTTTTTCTATGATCAATGGATGGTTAACTTAATTATATTGTTGAAACTACTGCCTGGCAATTATCTTTATACACAAATATGTGAGCCAGTGTGAAAACTGCATAAAAGAACATCGTCATCATAAACAGAAAAAATTTACACAGTTTAACGTTGATAATTGCAGCACGTGGTTGGAGGATGGCGCAACTCTATGTGTATGTGGTTTGCTTTGGGAACTGTGCTGAAGAAACATGTGGGCCAGGAGCTGCCATGGGAAAAAGATATGGCCGAGTAATGAAACTCAGGCTTGTAAAATGAACACCCCCTTTGGGACATCTTTTTTCAGCCCTGTTGTCTAGGTAACGGTAGTATTAGGTTTCCCAGGGTGTGGATAGACCCGTCAGTGGGAGAAGGATCCTCAGGCAGACAAAACATGCAAGTTGAGATGACAAAAATCTTTTTTCTTATATTTACATTTAAATTTCAACAATCCGAAAAATATGATCTTGTTTGCTAGGCTATTTCTATATAGCACATTTCTAAAAGCGTGCACATAATAATATCTAATTATGACAGTTACTGTATCCCCTACTGTATCCCAGTGTACACTACTAAATAGCATATTATTGTTATCATTGTGCAGCATAGCATAATTATGCATGGTCTCCTCCACTGTATATTAAGTATTACTGCCCTTGGGTCATGTGTCTTAAAAAGTAGGCAAATAGAAACTCCAGTGTTGATTCTGCCAACAAGTTCTTTCCGCAGCTTATCACAAAGATCACTTTATTCTGCTGTGGTGCATAGTCCTGGTCCCAGCCTGCTTTGTTAAACATTGACTTTCCCACTGTGTCAGTGGGTCGGTGCCACCTAGTACAGTATAAATGTTTAGGTTGGTTTAGTCAAGTTTGCATTTGTACTACTTCCATTCAGAGTGGCAGAGGCTGAACATTCAATAATTTATCCTTGACATTAAGCTATTTCAACCACTGGGTTTGGTGGTTTGAACCATGTACGTTTAGCTAACAATGTTAAACATTTATCCATTACTTTTAACTGACTTTTTGTACCAGCTTCCTTGCTAAATAGTTTCACATCACGTGGCTCAGGTGTTACAGTGTCCTTTGCAGTCACAGTTGGTAGCTTTGTGGTTATTGTGGCAGTAAATATCTCTTCACTTACTGTGAGTAAATGGAAAGATTAAAAAGTAATATGTACCCACATATGTACATGATAGCAGGATCATTCATTCTGGAAAAAAAATCAATAGAGAAATAAAACTCACCAACTACTCTTAAGACTCCTGCCGTCCAAAATCAGCCGTTATCTTGCAAAGTCCACAACCAAAGTAACTGCAAGCTAAGCACATAATTGAAAAGACACCATTATCACATGAGAACTAGCTGGCTAACTTAATTTCCTGAAACTGGACATGAACCAAAAGGGGCTGGAGCCACAGGGAAGAGTGCTGCTAAAGGAGTCCCCCTTCTTTGTGATCAGTGAATCCCTTACTGTATGCATTTTATCTGGTAAAGCAACATAAGTGTTTAGCTTGCAGGAAAAAAATATTAAATGACGTAACAAGCTTTATTTCCCACTGAGCCTTTTCTTTTTCATACTTTTTTAGCTACCGTGCGTTATATAATGTGGTCCAATAAACATGGTTTAATTAAACATTCAACACAAGATTGATATTCTTACTGTAGTTTCCACAAAGCTGACATTAATGACACTTAAGGTTTTTATCTCACAGTGTGACAGAATTAAACCTAACATCAAGCAAAATGCTGCTCTTACAATGCATGAATGTTTATGTTCCACTTAACTTTTTATCTTTCCTTAAAGTTTGCTCTGCCATGCTTTCATTTATTCCAACACAAAAGATGGTGTGTTTCAGGCAAATTGTTATATTTTCTACTGCTTCTTCTAATAAGTATTATAACGTTGACTTTCTATGCCGTGCTGTTGGCCAGTTGGCAGATCATTGTAAGACCAGCAAACATGTGGTGCTGGAAGGGGAGGAATTAATCATTGGTTAACCTTTATTCATGTTCTTTACTGTCTCCAGCAGCAAACTGTGCATAAACATTGTGAAAGAAATACAACCCCTCTGAGATTTGTTTCATAGAGCTGTTTTCCAGATATTTTACCTGTCCCTCTTCCCGGGAGCAGCAGGACTGGAAAGAAACTGGCCTTGAGTATACATTGTTACAAATTTTGTCCCTTACCTTTCTACATGTAATTGAAAAGAAGACAACCAAGACAGAACTTTTTTATATTTTCTATGTTATATTTCCATTTTATGCTACCAATATGTTTTACTTAAATATTGTACTTCTTATTCCCCTACATTTGTCTGACAGCTTTATTTTTCATACCCTTCCTGTTCAGTGAAAACCATGTATCTCCAAATTTGGTCATTTTAATTTTAAACACAAAACAGGGCTGTTTGTCTGAGCTCATGAAAGCGACGCTACCAACACACGATCTTGTAGAATATGATGCAATGCTGTAGATTAAACTACCCAACAGTTCATAGTAGTGATTAAACTACCCAACAGTAGTATTAAAAATGAGCTCAGCAGTAAACATCTACAGCAGTAAAATGCAACATACACATTAATGAAGCAATAATACCAATCATGTTAAGTACAATTTATCCTGAACTTATAGCTAACAATTTCAGTTATCCATTACTTTTAACTATTTTAACCAAAGCAATAATATCAATCCTGTTAAGTACTTTTACATAAGGATCTGAACACATCTTCCACCACTGCCGCTGATCACATAGAAAAGCTAAAGTCAGCAGAGTTTCAAAAGCCAGAAACCAAAATGTGCTCTTTTATCAGCTGCTGAGGTAACTCAGTAGGTAACAAAACAAGTGAGATGTTGAGAAATAAAGACACTGCTGCACAGACAACCAGAAACCTGGATACTGTTATGATCTTGTATAAAGGCCTAAAGGGATAACATTAAACAGGTTAATATCCCAAGTATAATCAAAACCAGAATAAGACTTAAAACCTATATACAACTGTGCAGGGGTGTGTTTAGAGCCTGGCTATTGGGCTATAGCCACAGGTCTTTTTTCTTTAGCCACAACTCCATTTTTACTAGCAAATATTTAATATGAATTATGAGCTCATACAACCACTGAACTGACGTGGCAAATGTAGACGCACATAAAAGGCAGGATTAAATCAAACCTAGCATAGATTTTCAATTAAATCTTGTGATTTATTTATGTGTAATAGTGTATCCTATGTTACATATGTTTTTTCCCCCTCTTTGATTCTATTGTCTTTAGTGTGTTTGGTTAAAAGAGCACACAACTTCCCAAATATGAACTATAGTGATGTGGGAGACAGTCTTAATCTTAACAAATTAAGACTAAACAGGAATATATTTTCTATAATTCACTGTAAAGTCAGCAACAAACAGGTGAGTGGTTTGACTCACATGGCACTGTGGGTATGACTCCTTGAGCTGAGTCACTTGCTGCTCTTCTTCTGACTTATATTGGCACCCATTTTGATCTCCCTCTCTGCAGTCGATGGACAGACAGCCACCAGTGTTAGCTAGTAGGCATTCCCTCCTGCACTCTACTCAGATTGTTTAGGAGGTAGCAGTGCTGCTGAGTAGAAAGTCTCAGTCATAACAGGCGTCGTGAGTCATGAGATAAAGTGGAAATTCCTTCTTGAGTGACGATTTGGCTCCTGAGAGATCTGGCTTGACCAGTTTCTGACACTGCGAGAGCACTCAAAGAAATGCTGGGCCCCTGTTATTTTTAAGTGCAGGCTATTCATAGTGTTTTTTCCAGAAGTTAGTATGCAAAATTTGTGATGTGATTCTCTGAGTTCTATTAATGGCTTGACAACAATAATTCACCAGTAACTTAATCTCTTCTGGTCTGCTGGCCATGTTAAAGTGCATTTTTCCAAATGTTAAGCTGAATCCACAGTCTGGGAAATCTGTGCAACAGAAGCAGTGCACTTTCACTTCTCTCGCAGTGAGAAAATGTGACTATTCCTGGGGAGGCTGTTTTTCCTTGGGTTGTACTCTCCCAGGCAAGCAGAAACATGTCCTCTTTAAGTCTTTAGCTTGGAGCTGAAACAGAATCTGGGTTGTGTGACAGACATGAAATAGTGTTAATAATCCTTGTGATTGTTCAAGACAAGTCTCAGTTTGGAAAGCCATTAAAACATCTACAGTATATAATTTCACACCTTTCACACACAAAATAAACAAATGGGATTTAAGAAAGCAGAAAGAGGTGCTTTTGTTATTTCAAGAAAGTTTGGTGTGGAGCAAGATAGCTCTTAAATAGTGTTGATTGGTTTACCCAAACCAAAAAAGTAGAGATGCCACAAGTATGATGAAAGTTTTTGAAAGTTACAACCAGCATTTGGTTTTACACAGTTGTTAGCTTACTGTGCATGTAAACATAGTGATGGGTGTAGTAGGTGTTATTGGAAGCATTGTGTGAAGCTGCAGGTGGGCCCAGGTGAGCTTGAGCTCCAAGTGGGGCCCAGGACCACCCAATCACAGGGTTTCTAACATAGGTAGAGTCAAAGCTGAATTTATAAATAACAGTCAATACATATTTTTTACTGAAACCACAAAGCATTTAAGAAATGGTAGAAAGTTGATCTAATCTCAACACATCCCTTCCCCTCCCTCTAATATCAGTAAACATTAGGATGTGATTGCTATTGACTGCCATTCAATTATTTTATATAAATTCAATTAATCATAAAAATATACAGTATCTCAGAAAAGTGAGTACACCCCTCACATTTGTGTAAATATTTGATTATATCTTTCCTGTCACAACACTGAAGAAATGACACTTAGCTACAATGTATAGTGAGTGTACAGCTTGTACAGTGTAAATTTGCTGTCCCCTCAAAATAACACATCACACAGTCATTAATGTCTAAGCCGCTGGCAATAAAAGTTAGTACACCCCTAAGTGAAAAGTGTCCAAATTGGGCCCAAAGTGTCAATATTTGTGTGGCCACCATTATTTTCCAGCACTGCCTTAACCCTCTTGGGCATGGAGTTCACCAGAGCTTCACAGGTTGCCACTGTAGTCCTCTTCCAATCCTCTATGACGACATCACACACAGATGTCTAACACACTTCTCTGCTCCTCCATTTCAGGAGTTACTTAGTGAAAACCCTATAGTGACGGTGTCTGTCCCCCGACCATCGAAATTATTTAAAAAGGTAAACAGAAGAGGAGCTGTGCATAAAAACCTTATAAAAATTAAAACCACAAGAGCAATAGTGCAAACAATAGGAGAGTTAAATGTGGACTCTTAAACATCAGATCTCTCTCTTCTAAAGGTGTACTAGTAAATGAACTAATATCAGATTATGATATTGATTTATTTGGTCTTACTGAAACCTGGCTGGGTGATGGAGAATATGTTAGCCTAAATGAATCCACCCCTCCCAGTCATATTAATACTCACATTCCTCGAGGCACAGGCCGAGGAGGTGGAGTTGCAGCTATCTTCGACTCTAGCCTATTAATCAGCTCTAAACCTAAACTAAACTATAACTCATTTGAAAGTCTTGTTCTTAGTCTTTCGCACCCAAGTTGGAAATCACTGCAACCAATTCTTTTTGTTATAGTGTACCGAGCACCTGGCCCGTATTCTGAATTCTTATCTGAATTTGCAGAGTTTTTGTCAACTTTAGTCCTTAAAACGGACAAAGTTATTATTGTAGGGGATTTTAATATTCATGTAGATGTTGAGAATGACAGCTTCAGTACTGCGTTTATCTCTTTGTTAGATTCCATCGGCTTCTCTCAGAGTGTTCATGAACCGACTCACTGTTTTAACCACACCCTTGACCTTGTTTTGGTGTATGGTATTGAAATTGAACATTTAGTGGTGTTCCCACAGAATCCCTCTTTATCCGACCACTGTTTGATAACTTTTGAGTTTGTATTGCTGAACTACTCGCCATTGGGCAAAAATTTCTATACAAGATGTCTGTCTGATAGTGCTATAGCTAAATTTAAGGATGCGATTCCATCAGCTCTAAATACATTATCTAGTCACAAAGTAACGGAGGACTCCTATGCTAATTTCAGTCCCTCCCAAATCGATCATCTTGTTGATAGTGCTGCTGGCTCGCTGCGAATGACACTCGACTCTGTAGCCCCTCTAAAAAAGAAAATACTAAAACAAAGACGGTTAGCTCCATGGTATAATACTGAAACTCGCAAATTAAAGCAAATATCACGGAAACTTGAGAGGAATTGGCGTTCCACCAAAGTGGAAAATTCTCGTTTAATTTGGCAAGATAGTCTTAAAACTTATAGGAAGGCCCTCCGTAATGCCAGAGCAGCGTACTACTCGTCATTAATAGAGGAAAATAGGAA